AGCAGTGTGAGTTTAGTCTAGCAGTGTGAGTCTAGTCTACTGAAGTGTGAGTTTAGTCTAACAGTGTGAGTTTAGTCTAGCAGTGTGAGTTTAGTCTAACAGTGTGAGTTTAGTCTAGCAGTGTGAGTTTGGTCTACTGAAGCAGTGTGAGTTTAGTCTAGCAGTGTGAGTTTGGTCTAGCAGTGTGAGTTTAGTCTAGCAGTGTGAGTTTAGTCTAGCAGTGTGAGTTTAGTCTAGCAGTGTGGGTTTAGTCTAGCAGTATGAGTCATGTGAGTTTAGTCTAGCAGTGTGAGTTAGTCTAGCAGTGTGAGTTCAGTAGCAGTGTGAGTGTCTAGCAGTGTGAGTTTAGTCTAGCAGTGTGAGTTTAGTCTAGCAGTGTGAGTTTAGCAGTGTGAGTTTAGTCTAGCAGTGTGAGTTTAGTCTAACAGTGTGAGTTTAGTCTAGCAGTGTGAGTTTAGTCTAGTAGTGTGAGTTTGTGTTTTTCATTAATCAAAGTTGAGGGTGGAAGGAAGGGTGAAACACCAACCAGTAGTTTTAACTAATTATTTTAGACATAATTAAAAATACTGCCCTCTGTGACAATACAAAAATAGTTGACCTTCCCCAAGCAATTAAGGTCACAGCACCACACAAACATAACTGACCTTCTCCCATAAATGAAGGTCTCTTCTTCTCCATACAAAATAACTGACCTTAATACTATCATTACACACTTAACATTATATACACAGACACTGGTATAATACAACATACAACAGTACCTTGAGTTCTCCCTTAATACTATCAGTACACACACTTAACATTATATACACAGACACTGGTATAATACAACATACAACAGTACCTTGAGTTCTCCCTTAATACTATCATTACACACTGAACATTATATACACAGACACTGGTATAATACAACATACAACGTTACCTTGAGTTCTCCCTTAATACTATCAGTACACACACTTAACATTATATACACAGACACTGGTATAATACAACATACAAATTACCCCTTCAGAGTCTTTACTGTGACACTACCCAATAGAAAACTTAGATACTCCCTTAGTGCAGTGAGTGTGAACGTTATGCAGCTGTAATAAGAGTCACAAAGAGATTATAGGGACCTGTACTAATGTATGCAGTACACAGTATTTACATAAAACTCTATATTCATGTCCACAAAATTAATGCCATTCTTGTAGCAATCATTTTTTTTAAATACCATTGTTAGATAAACACATGCCAGTACTATTAGGAAAAGTTGTATATAAGAACAGCAAATATCTAAATACTGTATGTAAATTTAACCAAGTCTTCTGCTTAATATGATCAAAAAACAAATTTTTAACCCAGAGTTTGGCATTTCAGCATTGGCTACTTTAAGAAAATGACTGCCCAAGGATGAATTTATATATATAACCAAGAAGAGTTACCTAACTAAGGCACAAGATGCTAACTGAACAATATGTTAAACATGATATTATATACAGTTAAGAGGTGTTAAAGTTCATCTGCCCCATAAAACCAGCTACTATATATGAACCCTAACCATTATTTACCAGACAATGGTACCACATATCTGTAAGTGATGAAAGAATATATTTAAAACATGAATCAAAACTATCAACCATTTTAGTCAAGATAAAATATCAAAATATCTCGTCAGAGTTGAGCAAAACTTATCAAATATTTACGTACAATTTCAACAGAGATTGAAGAGTTTCCGTGAGATAATGACAACACCTTGATTATAACAAATGGTCTACCACCACTGTACTACTTTACCAAGATGATTTACTGCCTGCGTTAATGTACGTACGTGTGATAAAACTTACGTCACGCGGAAATAAAGACAAACGTACACAGTTGACACAACTATTGATGCACAAATTATAGTAAATGAGAGTTCATCTCTGTTCAACACAACATATCCAGTAAAGATGAAATTTTAAGCACATAGATTATAAGTTTAACCTTTGTTCACTACGGTACTGTAAATAACATTATTACAAAAGACTGATGAAACAAAATGGAGTATTATTATGAGTGATATCTAACCAACACCAAATGTCTACACTAAGGCCATGGTAGAAGTAATTTACATCTTAAGAGCAGATAACTTGTGTTTAATATCTATAAAAGTGGCATTTGTCACTTGTCTTTATTTCTGCTACATTCATAGAGTTTGTTCAAGTGGTTTTATATTGATGTACAACACTGTATTCAAGTTTGTGTGTCACATTTACCTTCTGTTAAAGTCATTCAAACATTTATTGAATTCTGTTTCTTTCATGCACAAGTTTATGACGTTTGAGAAGACCGCTGCGGGAGAAACATTTCCCACATTCCTCACATTCAAACTCCTTTATACCACTGTGTCCAAGAATGTGTCTCTTGAGATGACCCTTCCAGGAGAAACATTTCCCACATTCCTCACATTCAAACTCCTTCACACCACTGTGTCCAAGAATGTGTGTCTTGAGAGTACTCTTTAGTGCAAAATGTTTCCCACATTCCTCACATTCAAACTTCTTTATACCATTGTGTACAAGAATGTGTCTCTTGAGATCACTGTTACACGAGAAACATTTCCCACATTCCTCACATCCAAACTCCTTTATACCACTGTGTCCAAGAATGTGTCTCTTGAGATTCCCCTTCTGGGAGAAACATTTCCCACATTCCTCACATTCAAACTTCTTTATACCATTGTGTACAAGAATGTGTTTCTTGAGATCACTGTTAGATGAGAAACATTTCCCACATTCCTCACATTCAAACTCCTTTACTCCATTATGTACAAGAATGTGTGCCTTGAGAATACTCTTGTGGGAGAAACATTTCCCACATTCCTCACATTCAAACTCCTTCACTCCATTGTGTACAAGAATGTGTGCCTTGAGAGTACCCTTCTGGGAGAAACATTTCCCACATTCCTCACATTCAAACTCCTTTACTCCATTATGTACAAGGATGTGTGTCTTGAGAGTACCCTTCCGTGAGAAACATTTTCCACATTCCTCACATTCAAACTCCTTCATACCATTGTGTACAAGTAAATGTCTCTGAAGAGTAGACTTGAAGCCAAACTGTTTGCCACATTCCTCACAGGAGAACTTTTTATCTCTGCTTGACATTGTGAACTTCTACTTAGTTACACTTGGTCTTGAGATGTGACATCACAGTATCTGAAACAAAATATTTTGCCTTAGATGATATTCTTATAAAAGTACAATTTATAAATGAAAACTACAAGTGACTAAACCAATTTGTGTAAAATAAGAGTAAAAAATTAAAAATAAATAAATAAAAAGGTTATATTAATGTACACCGCGAAGATGCCGGAAAACCAACTTTTTGAACGAGTCAGATTGTATGACTATGAAAACACAGAAGAAGGCAGAGCATTCAAAAGTGTGAGGAAAGAAGGATGTACTATAACAGATTATTATAGTGTGACCCACATCCACACAGACACAGTTTGGCTGTGTGAGTAAAGAAGGATGTACTATAACGGGTTATTATAGTGTGACCCACATCTACACAGACACAGTTTGGCTGTGTGAGTAAAGAAGGATGTACTATAATGGGTTATTATAGCGTGACCCACATCCACACAGACACAGTTTGGCTGTGTGAGTAAAGAAGGATGTACTATAATGGGTTATTATAGTGTGACCCACATCCACACAGACACAGTTTGGCTGTGTGAGTAAAGAAGGACAACCAACCTTTAGCTCAAACATTCTAACGTATGTTTATATTAACGACATAACATAAAACATTTATTACCTTTACCATGAGGGAGGGAGGAAGGAAGGCCCACAAATTAACATTTACTCACAAAATTAACAAAAATAAACAAGACGGCCACGTTGGTTGTTGTTGACCTGCTACACCTTGTCTGATTCTCTCTCTTATCTTTCAGTAACTACAAGTTTTCATTACTGTATTAATACAGTACTATAATAAAAGTATTTTATTAATAAATATTACATAATACAGTCAACCCTCACTTTACGCGGTCCCACATTTCGCATTTCCACGTTTACGCAGTGCCCTGCCGGAACCCAGGGTGCTCACATTCCGCAGTGCGTGTACCCCTTTACGCGGAGAGCGGCTGGCGAGCCGTGCCATTTTTGGATCCAAACCTCCCGCCATCCGCCATGTTGTGTAAGCGGCGCGAGCATGGTGCGCACAAGGTCGCCCAGTCATCAAAACATTACCGAGTTCTTCACCCGCCACCCACCACAGCCGGCCCAAGTCAATGATAGTGATAATTATAGTGTGGATATGGACTTATATGGACTTTGAGGGGTTTGATAAAGAGGCTCTGCAAGCCTCTGTGGTGGATAGTGATACAATTGATACAAGTGATATAGGTGAGGGCCTATAATCTGCCCTCTGCCTCGGAACCAACCGCTCATCCCCGTGTGCCCAGCCATCTTTTCTACTTATGTAAGTGTTAAAAAACCTAATATTATTGATATTTCTCTTAATTATTTATTGTGTGTGCATACCATCATAAAGTTAAGATAATATTTTTATTACAACATAGTTGTGTGTCGTCAAAAAGTGGAGTTTGGGGGTCGGCCCGGTCTCTATTTCAATTAATCCCATATGTTATGTTGTTCACTTTACGCGTTTCTCACTTCCCGCGGTACCCTGTGGGTTATATTAACCGCGTAAAGTGAGGGTTGACTATATAAATAAATTATACTTTAAATATAATGTTTTATTATTGATTAAATTCCTGCTATTAGATATGTATTAATATTAAACTAAACTTAAGTCAGTGGCTGGAGAACCGAATAGCTTGACAGCATTTACAATTTTACTAAAATAAATTTAAACAATAACATTTTGTGTTTAACTATTTTAAGTTTATTTATTAATATTTTATTAATATATAACACTACAGTATATAGATTCAGTTAACGAATGACTCCGTGGAACCAATTGTGTTGGTTAATGGAGGGACCACCGAAGATATTTTAGCGACCCTTCCTGGTGACAGCCTTAACCTAACGTGTGTCAACACTCCACTATCCACCTATATGAACCTTTATTAATGTGGAACAAGTCCATTATAAGAACAATTCACTGGACAATACTCACGGCAGTAGGTATAACCTGTAATATTTGATCACTAACTTGAACTATCATCATTATTGTTGTGGAATGTTCCTAAAAGTACAGTAATTATTTACCTATTATACAGTACAGCATTAATTTATGGCAAGATTGATGCCAAAAACTATATTTAAGTATAACTTAACCCAAATTAAATACCCACATTTGTTTGTAAAGTTTCCTGGCTTTTCCATGCAGTCGACACCCCAATAGTCTATATTTTTAAAACATTTATAAAGGCCTTTTAAAAAATACGGGCAAAGCCTTAGTAATCTACTTTAAATATCTAATTGTTTAAAAAAGTCATTAACACTAATTTGTGAACCCAGATTTAAAATTAGGTAAAGTAGTACCCTGTACCTTTGTAGGATATTTAAACTATTTTTTTTACCCCAAGTGCTGAAGACAAAGGTATTAGGTCAGGCATATTTGACAAATATTTTGACAACGTGAAAACTAACGTTATATAGATAATATAGTCAACATATTTAAGACCTTCCATAAAGGCATTTTAAAACTTACGGGCACAGCCTAATCTACTTAAAATATCTAATTATTTCAAAGGTCATTAACACAATTACTTGTATTTTTAAACTGTGATCCCAGATCCTTAATAAAAACTAAAACCACAAAGATATACACTGTACTGTACCTTATGTTATAGCAGAGAGTTTCCAATGTGGTGCAGCAAGAGACCCGTTAACCATAACAAACCTTCGTCTTGTGGCCCACATCTTACATCTTCACGTCACCGTCCTGGAATGAATAACATTTTAACAACTAATAAATTAAATACTCTGGCAGTAATATTATATAATATGTATACAGTACTGTATAGTATTATATTATACAGGAACTCATTAAATCTTCAAACATTTTAATACAATATTATGGTTAAATTAAGACATTTCCATAAAACTTTTTAAAGAAAATAAAGAAACACTTTAGAAAATCTTACCTCGACCAATGACATGATGAACTTCATTAACCATGATCAGCGAGGCTGCAATATGGTAGTTGTCTTAACACTACATTAACAGCGTATTGGAGCCGTACACTGTAAACAAAATAACCCTGTCACTCTTTTTGTAGAAACTCAGATAATTTTCTGTTTCAACATGTTAGAGACGAAACAACCTTGTAAAGGATTGCCAACACGGTTTTATGCCGGGGCGCTCCTGCTTAACACAATTGCTCAAGGTACTGGATATTTGGACCCATATTCTAGAACGGGGTGGTAATATCGACAATATTTACCTAGATTTTGCCAAGGCTTTCAACAGTATACCCCACGAAAGGCTGAAAATCAAACTGGAAGATTTCGGAATTCAGGCAAATGTCCTAACGTGGATAGAAGACTTTCTACATGACCGCAAGCAGTGTGTGGTGATTAATGGCACGAAATCATCATCCGTACCTGTCACAAGTGGGGTACCACAGGGCAGTGTATTGGGCCCGCTGTTGTTTGCTTGTTTCATAAATGACATGCCTGACGTTGTGCACTCCTCCATACAAATGTTTGCAGATGATGCCATGTTATTTCGGGAAACAAAGAACCAAGCAGACTGTGAAGAGCTGCAGAAGGACCTCGGTAGGCTCCAGGAATGGTCGAAGAAATGGTTGCTGAGATTCAATGTCACGAATTGTAAGAGGATGCACCTGGGGCATACCAACGGTAAGGAGGCCTATCATATGTCCCAATGGGATGAATAAACTGCACTAGTTGAGACTGAATGTGAGAAGGACCTAAGTGTGTATGTTGACAATGAGCTGAAGTTCTCGGGCCATTGCGAGAGGAAGGTAAATCAGGCAAATAAATTATTGGGTCTTATAAGAAGGTCATTCAGATATCTAGACGGTCCGTTCCCCGTAACGATCTTCAAGAATGAAGTGCTTCCCCATCTGGTCCCCGAGATATGCTAGGGACTGTCAGTTGGTTAAAAATGTTCAAAGGAGGGCCACCAGACTGGTGCCTGCCCTTCAGCACCTCAGCTACCCTGAGAGATTGGAGCGCCTGAGCTTGCCTAGCTCAAGATTGAAGAAACCGCAAGTCCAGAAAACTGTGAGGGCAAACTTTCGGTGTAAGAGTTGTGAACTCTTGGAACAATCTGCCAGAAAGTGTTGTGACGGCACCGAGTGTGAGCGCTTTCAAGACAAGACTTGACCAACACTGGAGCGGGTTCAGGTACATTCAGGGGCCAGTACATGCCCAGTACTTGCCAACAGTGCGTATCAGAGACGTGACCGATCGCCCAAGCGGCTAACGAGCCGATTAGTGGTGAAAAGGATAAAAGTAAAAAGTAAAATTGATGAATAAAATGTATAAAGACAATTTTTTTTTATAAAAGCCAATACATGTAATGTAAATATTGTGGAACTGTATTGTATTTTTAACTCCCATGAGAAGACAAAACTTGACTTCACCACAAGTTAACTCTGGTCAATTGCAACAACTTACTTAATACAACTTACTAGTCACTAATGGATAACACCTGGTAAATTCACAAGTTATATCCCACTGCCATAAGGGTTTAATTATCTATAAACGCCGATATTGTGAAGCGTCTCGTGATTTTTCCTTTCCCAGAGAATTAAAACCTCACCATGGAACACATGATTTGGTTAGGTTAGGATTCAACCAAATACTGTAGTGACAAAAATGTAAATTTGTCAAAAAATAAACTGCAATTTTACATTAAAGTTTCCAAAAGTCTCTAGCTAATTTTTTTACTACAACCTGTAATTTAACCATAAATAAAAAGTACCACATTCTTATAACCAATTTCTTTTACTCCAATTAAATAAAAAAAGAACCAAATACTTCCTCAAACAAATTTTTACTTTAATTAAATAAAAAAATCTTTCCCAAAATCCCACCTTGGTTAATATATAGGACGAACCCGCCATAGTGCCGATGCTGCTGTATCATCTCACGTCCAGAAAATGTCTCAAATATCACCGTATAGTAAGTTTTTTCTGTTTAATACACCGGGGAAGTTAGGTTAGGTAGGTATGGTTGGTTAGGTCTGTCCTTCATAACCACAAATGTTAAGTAGCGTTTATTTAAAAAACATCCATTTACTAACATTACCACAAACAGTGTCCACTCTAATATAACAATGAAAATCTGACGTTTTTATAATAGTTATCAATCCATTTTGCTCTTGGGTTACTCCTATATAATTACCCCCACCTCAATTGGACGACACAAAGATCTTAACTACCATCAACTTCAATGATCCATGAGGCTGTAATGAGGTGGTTGTCTCCTCCATCTTCAACAGTGACAAGCAATAAATTGTATAAAAATTTGTATAATGACTGTTATTGCCGATGGCTTCAGCTACAGTGCTGGCGTGTGATGCCATTAAATCTTTCGACCCGTGACCTCGCCAGATGTAGAAGTGTTTACAGACAAGTCCTGGCTCTGCTGAGTGGACTGTCTTTGGCGGGTGGTGGTGCTGCCCGCCCCGCCATGAGACAGATCGCCCTCTCTCGTGAGGCTGTGAAGACCAGCCTTCTGCTGGCACTGATGAACACCGACTCATAATGCTGTCCGAGAATTTGTGCTGGGACAATTTACTCAGTACTGTTGTCTCTTGGAACACCATACTGATCTGCATTGACCCGCACTTGTAAGTACAGCCAAGTGATGTCATACCCCTCAGTACTGAAATATTGTTGACTAATTACACCGACTCGTTTGTGCCTAACCTGGAGTAATAAGACAATGCAGAATGAAGCATAACTAAGATTACTAGAATTATGAACTTTGTGTTATGTCACTATGGTGAATAAATAGTAATTAAGATAAAATTGTGTGAGATTAACTCATTAAATATCAGATGGATCACCATGTAATATTATGAACATCTCCTCTGTAGGTTTTGATCACATCAATAAATATTGAATGAGTCAAAAGGAGAGTTTCAATCATTCCCTTCGACTTGCCCGTCACCTGAACAACCTTAACCAAGGCGTTTACAGTTATGTAATATACACATATCAAATAGTGTATTGTGCATAATGAATATATTTCTGAATATCTTTAAGAGTTGTGAGGGATAAAAGCTTCACCCATTCTACTCTCACTGCACAGTAAGTCAGTGAAGAGTTGTTGATTGAAGGAAATTGTGAATAGTTAAGTTTTAATGAAGAATGGTTAGGTTAAGTTAGGTTAGGTTAGGTTATGTGAAGACATTCATAAGCCGGAACACAGGCTATATATATATTTTTTTTATGGGTAATAGTCCACCCGGGCACAGGTCATGACCCACAACAGGGCCCAGGGGAGGGAAGAGTAAAAATAAATTAAAAAAATATAAACTAAAAGGTTATATTAATGTACACCGCCAGAGAAGCATCTTGTTTAAAGTGAGACATATTGTAGGGAAACACAGAAGAAGGCAGAGCATTCAACAGTGTGAGGAAAGAAGGATGTATTATAACGGGTTATTATAGTGTGACCCACATCCACACTGTGGGCAAGACACCAGCCCACGGTACACAGGATGCTACTTGTTAACAGAGGCTTTGCTGTATAAATGAATCAATGTTGAGAGAAAGAAACCTAACCTAACCAAACCTAACAGGGCTACTATGCCCAGTATTGATTCATCTTGTTTTGGTAATGAATATTGACGCTGATCCTGGATTATGTCAACAATTGTATATAATTGTTCTTCCTCTATGAATTTCTTTGTTATCATCTAAAAACACAGCCAGGTTGTAACACAGTACCATAAGTCATTATAATTTGACCATAATTACGTACAGACAGAGAGACAACTAGATGGTAAAACAAAATATACTATAAGAAATATTTCACATAGTGTGTTGTGTTACACCAGGTGGAGGGGTGAGAGGCAGCCGTTCACTACCTCCAACTATTGCTGTCTCAAGTTTGTAAGTCATATTAACTATACTGTACAATATTATATTTTCATGAATGAGTTCTGATATAATAATAATTTTTAGGGTAATTGCTTCGTTTGGTAGATAATTAGGTGACTAGGCGAGAACTACTTTGTCTGGCGCACATCACTTGTCTTTCTCGGTGGTGATGCGGCGGTACACAGCCAGTCATCTCCACTCAACGCCAGTCACCAGTGTAGGTTTATGAGCCACACAGATCAGGCGGCTGCTCTCAGGTCCACAAAAAACGTCAAATTACACCATATAATAGGAAGTTCTTTCTGTTTAATATGCCGGGGGTTCTGGAAGGTTAGGTTAGGTTCGGTTAGATCAAGTTTGTTTGGTTAAGTTGGCAAGGTCTTCTAACAATGCTTCTGCCACTTGCTTTTGTTATCAAATATGGTTAGGTTAGGTTAGGCTACGTCACGTTTAATTTAGAAATAACCAAGTTTTAACACATTTTACATAACTGGGACAGTGTTCACTACAAAACAGTGAAATTAAAACGTTTTTAAATTTGTTTAATATTGAGCGGGTGTTAAGTGTTGCAGTAGTGGGTGTTGCTTCTGGTAACATGTGTTGGTGGTGACTCAGTGACTCTCAGCTGGTGTTAAGTGTTGCAGTAGTGGGTGTTGCTTCTGGTAACATGTGTTGGTGGTGACTCAGTGACTCTCAGCGGGTGTTAAGTGTTGCAGTAGTGGGTGTTGCTTCTGGTAACATGTGTTGGTGGTGACTCAGTGACTCTCAGCTGGTGTTAAGTGTTGCAGTAGTGGGTGTTGCTTCTGGTAACATGTGTTGGTGGTGACTCAGTGACTCTCAGCTGGTGTTAAGTGTTGCAGTAGTGGGTGTTGCTTCTGGTAACATGTGTTGGTGGTGACTCAGTGACTCTCAGCTGGTGTTAAGTGTTGCAGTAGTGGGTGTTGCTTCTGGTAACATGTGTTGGTGGTGACTCAGTGACTCTCAGCTGGTGTTAAGTGTTGCAGTAGTGGGTGTTGCTTCTGGTAACATGTGTTGGTGGTGACTCAGTGACTCTCAGCGGGTGTTAAGTGTTGCAGTAGTGGGTGTTGCTTCTGGTAACATGTGTTGGTGGTGACTCAGTGACTCTCAGCTGGTGTTAAGTGTTGCAGTAGTGGGTGTTGCTTCTGGTAACATGTGTTGGTGGTGACTCAGTGACTCAGCTGGTGTTAAGTGTTGCAGTAGTGGGTGTTGCTTCTGGTAACATGTGTTGGTGGTGACTCAGTGACTCTCAGCTGGTGTTAAGTGTTGCAGTAGTGGGTGTTGCTTCTGGTAACATGTGTTGGTGGTGACTCAGTGACTCTCAGCTGGTGTTAAGTGTTGCAGTAGTGGGTGTTGCTTCTGGTAACATGTGTTGGTGACTCAGCTGGTGTTAAGTGTTGCAGTAGGGTGTTGTTTCTGGTAACATGTGTTGGTGGTGACTCAGCAGGTGTTAAGTGTTGCAGTAGTGGGTGTTGCTTCTGGTAACATGTGTTGGTGGTGACTCAGCTGGTGTTAAGTGTTGCAGTAGTGGGTGTTGCTTCTGGTAACATGTGTTGGTGGTGACTCAGCTGGTGTTAGTGGGTGTTACTTCTGGTAACACGTGTTGGTGGTGACTCAGCGACTCTCAGCTGGTGTTAAGTGTTGCAGTAGTGGGTGTTGCTTCTGGTAACATGTGTTGGTGGTGACTCAGCTGGTGTTAGTGGGTGTTGCTTCTGGTAACATGTGTTGGTGGTGACTCAGTGACTCTCAGCTGGTGTTAAGTGTTGCAGTAGTGTGTGTTGCTTCTGGTAACATGTGTTGGTGACTCAGTGACTCAGCTGGTGTTAGTGGGTGTTGCTTCTGGTAACATGTGTTGGTGGTGACTCAGCTGGTGTTGCTTCTGGTAACATGTGTTGGTGGTGACTCTCCATCAAGTAAGGCCGCTGGCTGACTGAGTCTGTTTTAACAACAACAGTAGTGACACTGTCCCTACACTCTCCATGTGCACCAACAACTGGTGGTAGTGACACACATTACCCACCAACAGACAGTACTGAACTAGACAGGTAACACGTCTTACTAAAGTACCACGGTTCACCTTGGCTATATATAAGTTAATAAACAACTCACAGTGACGTAGTGAAGTATTAAATCATCCAAGTTTGTATTTTAATTAACACATTTTGGTCGACTTAATGTTTACAACTGAGGCGATGAACACTGTTAATAACTTACCACGAACAACTCAACTTTACCTAATATAAACTAACATCACATAGTTTAAACAATTATTATTTACTTAATATTATCTGAAAAACAAACTTAACTCTACTACTGATACACTTTTAAATAATTGTATTACATCTACTTATTATTGTATTATAAACTGAACACTAAGTAATATAAACTATCACCAGGTAGTTATCGTGACACTAAGCAATAATAAACTATCACCAGGTAGTTATCGTGACACTGAGTAATAATTAACTATCATCAGGTAGTTATGTTACGTATATATTAGTTAGTTGAGGTTAAGCAATAAATAAACAAGTTCGTGGTAATATTATAACACTGATCAGCTCCCCTCCCCCCAGTACCAAGGAAAGTACTTTATATACTTTCTTTGGCCGATAATTTTACAAATATATTCATTAGTCTCTGTTACGGTACACCTCGGCTATGAAAATTAGTGCTATGAGTTTACATTAATTTGCAATGGTTGACTTTTATAAATGAATCAGTGTTTGAGCTGTACTGCCAAGAGGATAAAAGTAAGAACATAAGAACATAAGAAAGTGGGATACTGCAGGAGGCCGACTGGCCCATACAGGGCAGATCCCTTTCACACCCATCCCAGCACTTCCATGTGCCTATCCAACTTCGTCTTGAAGCTCCCTAGCGTCCCCGATCCTACTATAGCACTCGGTAGCCTATTCCACATATCCACAACTCTATTACCAAACCAGTGCTTGCCTATATCCTTTCTGGATAAGATTTATCTAATTTAAAGCCATTTGTTCTAGTTATTTCGTTATTACTGAGCTTTAGAACATCTTCCATTTTACCCTTGTTAATCACTTACCCACATGTACACCTCTATCATATCTCCCTAACTCTCGCCTCTCTAATGAATGTAAGCCCTAAGCTTTTCAGTCTTTCTTCATATGGAAGGTTTCTAATATTATGGATCATTTTTGTCATTCTTCTTTGTACTCTCTCCAAAAGAATCTATGTCCATTCTATAATAGGACACCAGAACTGAACCGCATAATCCATGTGGCCTCACTAATGCTAGGTAAAGTTTCAAGATAACGTCAGCAGTTCTGTTACTCACAGACCTAGATATGAACACAAGAATCCTGTTTGCCTTGTTGCGAACGCTAATACATTGTTTTCTACGTTTCAAGTCGTTGCTAACAAATACACCTAGATCTTTTTCACAAACTGAGTTTTCTATTTCCGTGTTACCTAGTTTATACTTAACGTTTGTATTCGTCTTCCCTATCTGTAGTACCTTGCATTTATCAGTCTTAAAATTCATTTGCCAGTCTACTGACCACTCATGTAAGGGATCTAGATCTCTTTGAAGGTGTTCAAAGTCACT